AAGGTTTTCGGAAAGGCGGCGGCGCCGAGCGGGGGGGCGTGGCGGGGATCACGGCCGTGCGCTGCGCATCACTTCATCTCCAGCCGTCAGCAGACGCATCTCGTGTCCGTGTCGTGTCCGTGTCACCATGTCCGTTAGTCCAATTAACGACCCCGACGTGCTGCTGATCCGCATCACCACCCGCGAGGTCGCGGAGATGGATCGACTTTTGGTAAGTACATATAATCATCAAGTGTTGTGATAGGGAAATATGTGAATGAGATTAGTGAAAATCGGATTGTGTCGCGTGTGTGGCTGTAGAGGCTTGTTGTTTTCTGAGGGCGTAGGGAGTGTTTTTTAGACTAGAAGTGTGAAAATTTGTGGTGATTGTGAGTGAAATTTGAGGTGAATTTGAGTGAAAAATGATCAAAGAGTCATTCCCTATACCGGTCGGCTCCGCGCTCGGCTCGGCTCGGCTCCGCGCTCGGCTCGTCTCGGCGTTCGGCTCGGCTCGGCTCCGGACGCAGCTTCGTTCAAGTTTAACATCGTGATCAGCTGAGAGGGTAGTTTCGTTGAAATTTTGAACGTCGGGTGTGTGTGTGTGTGTGTGTTCGGGTGTCACTCGGCTCGGCTCCGCGCTCGGCTCGTCTCGGCGTTCGGCTCGGCTCGGGCCGGCTCGGCTCGGGCCGGCTCGGCTCGGCCGGTCGGTGGAACGCGGTAGGACCGTGAGAAAAAGAGGGAGGGTAGTCGGGGCGTTCGAATTTGTGTTCAAAAAAACGTTGGGATTCTGACTCTTTATCGAACTTCGGCTGTGTTGGGGGTCAGCCGCATTCGGCTCATACGAGCGCTCGCGTGATCAGCCGAGCAATCGCGAGTTTTGACACTGGCTTTCCTATTATTACAGGAGGAATCTTTGAACCCAATCGAAGGTTTGCGGGAGCGCGCCGTCGCCGCGCGCGACTTTTTCCACGACTTGGATGTCACTGAGGTCATGATCCTGGACGCGGCCGACGCGCTGGTGGAGTTGAGGGAGGGCCCTCCACCCCTCGTCCCCATCGCGGAGGCCGCCGTCGTCGTCCCTCCAGCTCCAAATCCGTATGAGATGATCACGCCCGCCGTCGAGGACCTGCCCCCGTTGGTGGTCATCGAGACTCCCGGTGTGCCGCCGCTCCCCGTCTTGGACATCAGCGAGGAGGACTTTCAACCTGTAAGTATGTGCATTCTTGTTTTTTCGTATTTTCTAGCTCCCCCCGGGTCTCCTGATGGCGCCGTCGTTCATGTGGATGCAGAGGTCCGTCGCGGCTGTGTCCCTTTGTTGTGCTCATCGTTGGCCTCGTACGGGAGGCCGGGCGGAGAGCTGGTGTCGTGTCCCTCCAGGTGCCGGTCATGTCCTAGCTCCTCCGGGTGCCGCTGGTGATGTCGCTCCTGCTGCGGGTCGTGTCCCTCCAGGTGCTGTTGGTGCTGAACCTGAAGTAGACCGATGTGCTAGTGGAGATGCTGCGGTTCGCGGTGCTGAGCGTGCCACTTGTGTGCAGGATGAGGTGGGGGGGGAGGGCGGCGAGCATCTCGAGGACACCGTCGTGCAGGATGAGGTGGTGGAGGGCGTCGGCCTGACGAAGCTCGAGGACAGCGTCGTGCAGGATGAGGTGGTAGAGGGCGGGCATG